AACTTTTAGTTAAAAATGATAAAAACCGAACAGCCTACAGTACTTTTACAGTCTTTAGTTTACAGTTAAAATAAATGTTTATCAAATAAAGTCTAATGTTACAACTAATCAGGGATCCCTTTAACAGGTCTCCAAGTTCTGCAGAAGCCTGTTAATCACTCWTTTATTCAAATCAGGTGTGATGAASTGGAGAAACYTCTAAAACATGCAGGACAGTGGCCSTAAAATCCAGAATTACGKACCACTGATGTAGATTTAGATTTAAATATTTACTCTCTGCAAAATGTAATTAAAATCTCACAAAGCTAAAAGACGTGACAGCACGAACATAAACACACGTTGTGTGGTCGTGCTCAGCTACTACCACACTGGAAAATTGGCTGAGGTCTACTCATTTTTTGTGTTTCTTAAGAAAATCTTTCTGTGGTTGGGTCGAGTCCAAAAGTTAAGCAGTTGTACTGGTTACTTCCTGAGGASTTAGTTCAAATTTGTCCAGCTATTCAAAAGATATTTTGCAGGGAAAAATAAAAAAACAGAACAGACAAACGAGCACACAGACTTGAGRTCAACATGAGTTCAAACTGTTTCTTTTTGCTCTCATGAAATCACCATCTATCAAATCTCCTTTCCAAATACAAACTGTAAAAAATTTCATTACGCTTCACAGATATTTAAGCCTTGTAGGTGTACACTCCCCTTCATCTCCACTAAAAAAAAAGAACAAACACATGAGAAATCACTCCCAACATTCATGCTGAACTGGCTTACATATCTCAACCTAGCCCACCACCACAAACAACAGGACAAACCTGAATTGTCTGAACAGCTCGCTCCTTGTTAGAGGAACCTACAACAGGAACTAAACGACTACAGCTAACTCAGCCTGTCCAACCCAGCTGCTTTTGAAATTACAGCCCCATGGTAACAGCAGCGCAGCTATTCACAGCTTCACAACAATGTGGACATTTAATACTGCAGCTGGCCCGCTTCATGTCAAATGAATGAGGCCTTAGTTTTCATCCCCATCTCAGATATGGAGATCATTTGCTTTCCTGCATTGTTATAGAGGCCGAGGGATGAAAGGAAGAAGGGAAAAGACCCAACAAGGCAAGGGTCCAACTTATTTTAGAGGCCAAAGACAAATATTCAAGGAGGTTGTCTGTATGACTCCACTTTAATCACATTAGCTTTAAAAAAATAAAAATTAATTATTAATATTTAAGAACGAAGACTGCTTTTTCTCCCAGTTTCAACAGAAACAACCGTCTACACGCTGTGCAAGCTTACGTGAGACCAACAACTGTTTCTGATCTGCAGCTGCAACAGACAGGAGAGACGCCACGATAAGATGTTCTCCCAGTCAGCTGCATGCCACACCGTGACAATGACAAATCCTGATCTGACACATTTTAAATTAAATATGCCAGACACGGAACACCTTTTAATTGAAGTTATTATATATGACGGTAAAATCGGCACATTTATCTGAGATTTTTCAGGTTAACGAAATATAAAAAACCATAACTTGACAGCTTGAAAGTGAAGAAAAACTATTAATAATCAAATTTTTATGTCAGCTAGGTCACTTCCTTCCTTTTGCATGACTTGTCTTTTTAACATCACAATAAAAAAAAACTTAAATAAAAAAAAACTATGATAAACCGGATGTCTACAGTACTGTAGGGTTTTGCAGTCATGACTCTTTAATGTATTAAACTTCTTCTGTCAAAACTTTTATTCACCCAAGCCCTTCATTGTTCAGAATGAAAGTAGAAAGGGGTGTTTCTCAGAGGTTTATGAAGAGATTAAAACTGTTTTGAGGATTATATGGTGTGTTAATCTGTGCTGGCTGAATCAGGTCACTTGGTGAAGTAACAACACAGCACGAAAGGTGAAAATCCTTCACAGCACACGGACCGTACCTACGTGGAGATGTTCTTGATAAAAACTAAGCATGGCTCAGAGCTTTTTCTTTTCTCTATGTCAAATAGAGCTGTCGCTTTTGTTTCCGAGGTAATCTGCAGCCATGGTACGGAACGCACTACTATTGTTGCAACAAACCATAACGACGGTACCCACATACCCTGAAGTCCTTCCTGTTACTAGTGCAAAGTATACGGTAAATCAGTCAGGTCTGTGTCTGTAAATAAAGCACAGGCTTGTCATTGTACAAACCCATTCAACTTTTATCTCTGCTATCTTATTAGAAACTCAAATAAAACAAAATCATTAACACTGACAAGCTGTCTCCCTCACCTCAAGGTTAAAAAACAGTTGAAAACTAACACCCTTACCCCCTCCACACACACACACCCTTCTGGCACTGAGTCTCAAACAAGACACAGAAGCTCTACTTGCATTACTTTTCCACAGGGCATTCGAACACACTTCAAATCAGCATCTAAAAATGTTGGGAGTGTTAAAAATGAAAGCAAAACACTGCATTCGACTCCAATGGCACATTTCAAACATGCCAAGGTATTAAAACTACGGTAGTTAGTTACTGCTTTGGATTTCAAAGACAGAACTACAGTGTATCACAGAATCCAAGGAGTGTTAACACTTTACCACGCAGGACAAAATGATCAAGAAGCAGGACTACTGAATCGGAGTTCATCTAAGACAGACAAGAATTAAACTACACTGTGAACTGATAGAAAATCCTAAGAATACAGAATGTGGACTCTAGTGGCCAAAAAAGGAGGAAAAAACATTTTCCTTGTCATCAGAGTGTACTACAAAACCCAGCACTGTTATGCTAAATTATAGATTCAGTTATAAAACAATGTTTTGTTCTTTTCTTTTTCTTCACAGGACAGACATTTATTGTTCTGACAGGACAGGAAGACGGCATGACTCAATATGACTCCAAATGTTTATACCTACTGTCAAGCACTCAACATATTTTAGGAACCACAACACACCTAAATAAAGTGGAACAGCGGTCTGCGAAGTCTCAACACTATGCAGTTTCCTAATAAATGTACAGTTAATGGGTGTGAATGAATGTGAAGTTATCTCTGGGGATTTATTTGTATTTGATCGTTTGCCACTTACCTGCACAAATCAGCAAAAGCCTGGAAGTTCAGTTTCTTCATCTTTTTCTCACTGAGCCAGTAGCCGACTCTGCGACCTTTCAGGAAAGTCTGCATTTCACCCCCCCTCTCTGCTCCTGAGTCACTTTTCTGACAGTAAACTGGGCGACTGGAGGCTCGACCTGAACAGAAGGGAGCAGGAAATTAACACAAATCGGTCGCAAACCGCCAACCACAGATCAAATAAACGAAGGCTTCGTGGCTAGTAAAATGTTACCCCCCCCCCCCCCCCCCCCACACACACACACACACACCATAGAGACACTTTTTCTGTTTGTATGTTTCCCTAAAGTCTTTCAGGACAAGCACGATTTGAGTAAAATAGCTTAAAATGCAGGTTCAGCATCAGAGAACCCCTCACACACGCTGACTCTCCTGCTAACATCAACAGCTAACGTTAGCTGGCTAACAGTGATGACAAGCTACACTGCTAACGACATAAAAATAAACAGTTTAATCAAAGCCCCTGCTAAGGCTATTTATACCATTTAATTAAAGTGTGCTAAGGACAATTTATGAACCAAAAATACGAAGCAATGATACAAATAAGATGGGAGTGAGCGAAGCTAGATTAGAGCTAACTAACCTGGTAGTTTTAGCACCCGGTTATTCGTGTCCTCGTTTAAAAAAAAAGCTAACTTGAACAGCGTCCCATGTTCAGTCCGTCCACCGGAGTAGAATACAGAAGCGAAGTGACAGCTGACAGGCACAGCTGGATCCAGATGTTTCTGATGTTTCTCTGTCAGGCTCTGAGCTGAAGCTGTGTGACTGGCTGCACACACCCAGGCTCCTGGAGGCTGATGATGCGTTCACCTGCCCCTCGGAAATTACATAATCTGTGCCCGTAAAGCCACGCTGCTTCTTTCCAATAATGATTAACGCTCCCATTATCTTAACGACTTATCATTTTTCAATAAAATTATGTCGCGTGCTAACATGTCTTTAAAACACATATTTTATTTCGCAGACAACATGCAAACAGCATGAATTATGACCTGAAACATAGAAAACGCAGCTATGGGGATCGGGAAATAAATGTTTCACCAGTCGCCACTGGTTGTTTTTCAACTAACATGGATTATTTAATCTCTGTTTCGTCCTTTCAGTTAATTTAATCATTTCTTGTTWACTCAGACAGCATCAGTGATATGACAAGTTCCGTATGTTCAACTGTCCGTAAACAGTAAACCTGCATCTGTAATGGTTTGGTACGTGATGTCTCTTCGTACGTCAACAGCGCCCCCTGCTGAGCAACTACATGTACAGTCGAAACTTTACTAACTCAATTAACAAATAAAAAAAAATAAAAAAAACGGGTATGTACTGTATGTCTACTGATAAATAAAACCCCGGCATGTTAGTTTCAGAACAAAACAAAAACATTTTAAAAAGGCACAAAAGCCTTGGCACCTGCTAAGAGACTATACACCAGCATAAAGGAAAGGATACGCAAAACGTTTTTTTGTCATACAATATCATCAATATGCTAATATTACTATTACAATATTACTGACTGCTCTTGTGATAAAATTGCACATCGTCTCTGTGATTAAAAAAGGTGCAAATTCAATTCAATTCAATTCAATTCAGTTTATTTATACAGCATCCAGTCACAGCAAACATTATCTCAGGGCACTGTACAAAAAGCAATCTAAATAAGCCAGTATTGAATGTCTGGAGTGCCCAATTAAATAAATAATTATATCATGAAATAAATAAATCAAACACTTAAATCTCCATCTCCATGTTCTTATCCGTAGTCGGGTCGCGGAGGCAACAGGTCCAGGAGAGAAACACAGACATCCCTCTCCCCAGCAACACTTTCCAGCTGGTCCTGGGGGGACGCCGAGGCATTCCCAGACCAGAGAGGATACTCAATCCCTCTAGTGAGTCCTGGGTCTTCCCCGGGGCCTCCTACCAGTGGGACGTGCCCGGAACACCTCTAAAGGGAGATGTCCAGGAGGCGTCCCAACCAGATGCCCGAACCACCTCAACTGGCTCTTTTCGATGCGGAGGAGCAGCAGCTCTCTTCTGAGCTCCTCACTTCATCTCTAAGGCTGAGACCGGCCACGCTATGAAGGAAGCTCATTCTGGCCGCTTGTACCCGGGATCTTGTTCTTTCGGCATGGTCTACACCCCATGACCATAGGTGAGGGTTGGAACAAAGAAAGACGAGAGCTTTGCCTTTCGACTCAGCTCTTTTTTCACCACGACTGACCGAAGCAACGCCCTYGTTACTGAGGACGAGGCCCCAAGCTGTGGATCCATCTCCCGGTCCATCCTACTCGTGAACAAGAGACAACTCCTCCACTTAATTAATTAATATGTAATGAAATTAATAAATACATCAGTAAATAATTAAATAAATTATTAGATAGTGAAATGCATCATTGAATAATTATTTAATTAAGTAAATAAATTAAATATGTGATTAAATAATTAAATATCCCAATAAATAAATAAATAAATCTACCTTTTGAATTGGGAATTCAAATGTGCAAAACTAGCACAGTTACTGTCAGTTCATATTTTTTTTGTTATTTGTTGCTCGAACAAAGCGACGTGACGTCACTTCCTCCACGTGGTCCTGACTCAAATTCCCGCCAGGAACGGCGGTTTTGTCACCAGTATTGTTTAGCCGCGCAGACCGGGCCGACTGTGTATTTCTCAGAAACATGGCAGCGGACAGGCAGAAGTTGGAGGCGGGCGAAGCTCTGGTCACCGATGAGGAGGTGGAACAGGCCCTGAGCGTGCTGGCTGGGAGCGACGCAGAAAACTGCTCTTATCCTCGGGTAAGAAAAGCTTCCTGCACCGCATCACTGCGCCGCCTTTGTTGCAGGAATCAAACATGAAAATGGTGTCAGCATCTTTTAATTATCGATATTTTTTCCGTTCTTTTTTTGTATTTGCACAGTAGTTATAACAGTGGCATAATAGTGAAAGATACATATAAAAACACGGGTATTTTGGAGTGATTGTTTTGTGTTTCATCGTTGCAGGGTTATGTGAAGAGACAGGCGGTGTTTGCCTGCAACACCTGCACTCCCAATGCTGCAGAGCCGGCTGGGGTTTGTCTGGCCTGTGCCAATAAATGCCACGATGGACACGACATCTTTGAACTGTACACCAAAAGGTACAAGTCTTTTGTCAGGGGTGCCACCAGCAGTGGTGTCCTCACTTACAAATGTGCTGCCACCTCTGACAAGTCACAAATGCAAAATATTTGGAGAACAACTAAATTGTAATGAAATTCCCAGACAGTAATCATTAAACTCACATCTGCATCTGCTGAGTTTTGTGCTCAACCTGTTTTAACATGGCTGCTTCAGCTAATCCACCTAARCAAACACAAAAATGTCTAACACAATCATTTTTTACAGCTTTTGAGCTCAAATTTGGCRTGRTAGTAGCCAAGAGTCACCCCCCAAATTAAACTAAGAGCACTAACCAATATTGCTTTAAAAGCTTTTCTTGAAATGCGGTGGGTGGTTTGTATTATTACATAAATATCTAGAGTTGTGAGTTGAGTAATGAGTGATGAACTCACTTAATGTCAACTGTAAAGTTAAAAAAAAAAAATAGAAGTTTCACCTGATTTGATTTTGCAGTATTGTTTGCAATAATGCCCTGCCATGAAAACTTAATGAAGGTTATCTGTTTTTGTTTTTTTAACCAACATTAGTCCTTTGCCAACCTTTCTCATTTTGCCTCAGAGATTTTCGCTGCGATTGTGGAAATAACAAGTTTGGCGATTTCCAGTGCCAACTCGTTCCTGTGAGTACACCGAATCTCCATTTGTGAACCSCGCTTGTCTGATGGTTGCGTTCAATTCCCCTCGTATCCGCACGATTTCAGGTGAAAGAGGAGAAGAACGATAAGAACCGCTACAATCACAACTTTGTTGGCTGCTACTGCACATGTGACCGTCCATACCCAGACACAGATGAGCAGGTAAGCCCTTTGCTTCGTCCATATTGTTTCAATTCAGAAAAWTTTCAGCATCTAATAAAAAAAWAACATTTTTAACAGGATGACGACGAGATGATTCAGTGCATCATCTGTGAGGATTGGTTTCACAGCAGGGTGAGCGTGAGAGGGTTCATGTTCCCTGCGCCCGATCTCATTTGCATTTTCTTACCTCTGCGATGCTTCCTGTTTTCAAACAGCACTTGCGCTGTGCTGTAGTTGAACCAGAAGAGCTGCAGGAGATGATCTGCGAGGCTTGCATGAACAAAGCTCCTTTCTTGTGGACGTACGCCGCCCAGTTCGCAGGTACCGACCTCCTTTGGGTGAAATTCAATTCSGCTGTTTGACACGTAGCTGCGTACGTCAGTGAGGAATGTGTGTGGCCGTGTCCTTCAGTACCGCCTGTGATCAACGCCAGTCACTCTGAGGAGGACATAGAGGTCAACRTTGAGGAGAATGAGGAACATCAAGGCGGGGATGAGGAACCAACCTCTGGTGATGAGCATGCAAAGGTGAGGAATAGCATTGATGCTAGCCTGTAGGATATAGATCAGGGGTGTCTACATTTTCACCAAGGGCCACATGTGCATTACGGTAGTTGTAATTAACTTTTAATGTTTTAAATTCTGAACTCTCMCACTTTCMAGTTTGAATKAACAATCAGACTRGACYGCATCACAAATAGCTGCTGAWAAAGGCTGTGAAATGGAGATTTATTGCAAATCACGACATGTATCGTCTAATAGCTACAGGCTAGCTTTRAACCCTGTGCACCTACACCTAGTAGTGGGTTTCCATCATTTCTCAGGTTAAATAATCCACATGCATTATRGGAGATATAGTTCATGGTCARTGCTGGCTTTAAAGCAGCACACTCTTATTTTAAGACTATGCATCTTTAAAGCTCATGCAGGCCCTGGACTTTGACGTGATTTAGATAGATTGGTCTTAAAGGGAATTTGAAAGCACGTATTCAGTGTCTGTAACTTGCTTATTTATGCAGAAGTCATGATGAGCGTTACAGACAAGCTTTGTATTACAAAATGAATAAAATAATGTGACATGTTTGGGCACCATGATCTTAAGTTTGTATGAGGATAGAGCCTCAGAAGCATTTTCACATCCCTGCACAGTTTTTAATTCCAASTTATTTCCCGATCGAGGGCAAATAAAAAGCACAAATTCAGCAGCAGTTTTTAATCAGATTGCCACAAGGTGGGGCCAAAGGGTAAGAATCGGATTCCAGCCTGAAAGCAGACTCCAGCTCCTGTTTGTGTGTGCGCTCACTTCCCTTCTGGGTAATTTGAGAACTGACCCACGAGGCACCTCTTCTACTCTGTAGACAGCCTCGGCCGAGCTCGCAGTAAACTGCAGATTTTCACCATCCGACCATTGCATCATGTCGAATCGCCTGGAGTCTCCCTCAGCTGTTTTGCCGTGTGTGGAAAAAAGCCCAGCTGTTGAGCATTTTCTAGTGCCAAAAATTCACCCAGTTGTATTTTTTATTTACTTATTTATCGTTTGTAGGAAGTGGAGAACAGGTGTTCCCCAGGCAAACGAACTCATGAGGAAATGAGCAGCGCAGAAAAAAGCACCAACAGGAGTGCAGAGTGCAGGCTGAAGGAGCTGCAGACGCAGGGGTTAGCCCRGCTGAGGCAGGGAGCGGTGTTCTGGCCTTACGGCTGGCGCTCGGAGCTCTGCACCTGCACGAGCTGCAAGGTAGGCCCACAAACTTGTGTGGGTGTGTGTGTGTAACTACATCTTTGAAGTTAATACACATTCATCACGCGTGTGTGTGTGCAGAAGGTTTATGTGGCTACAGAAGTGCAGTTTCTCATGGATCAGTCTGACACCATTTTGGCCTATGAGAAGAGAGGATTGGAGGCGCCGTTTGGGCAGCACCCACTGATGGCACTGATAGGCTCCATGGACCGTGTGCAGCAGCTGGAGGTCATTTACGGTGAGGATGGGAAGGGCAGGAAGGAAGGAAGGAAGGAATCAAACTGGTGTTCTTCCTCCGCCGCAATCATGCAAACCTGAACAAAATGGAGCCCGAGAGACTTGAAGTGCACTAAAATAACAGTCTTCCTCCAGGTATCAACGAGCTGACGGCTGCAATCAGTGCGTTTTTAGAACAGTGCGTTTCTGAAAGAAAGGTAAGGAAAGGTTGWTGCCGAGTCACATTCTCCGGACTTTCATCCGTTCTTTTCGTCTGTTCCGCTCGCATCCGATCTGAATCCTTGCTTTTGTCTCCGTCAGACCGTCACAGTCGAAGCCGTACAYGAGTTTTTCGAGGAGCTGCGAGAGAAAAAGAGACGCAGGACCAACCCAGGATACGAGTGATGAAACGTTTCTGCTGCCATCAAATGCTGGGTTCATGTGGTGCTTTAAATGTATGTGTCAGTTTCAAGATGATCATATATTTTTTTTACTCAAAATGAGCTAAAAGTTCAGAAACGTTGCCTACTATACAGATTATTTTGTTCAGGTATTAGGATTATAATTTTGATGTGATGAAAATGACTTGAAACTTTTGCTGATATTGCACATTTAACCTTTTTTATGAACAGAAGCAAATATGTCTGCATACGATGTCTTCAAGTTTGTCTCCTTTCTGTGTTAGCAGGACTTTTAAATTGACCATGATTGTAATTAAAAATGTTTTTTTTTGTTTAAGCTTTGATGTTAAAACCGTTTAAGTTTACTGTCAGTCAAAGTGAATGAACGTTGAAGGATGGTCTTTATGTGAATATGGATTAATACAAATAAAACAAGACAAATTGTATTTCTTGTTTTAATGTAGTGAATTATGAGTGCTAAATGACCACTGAAGTTTGCAGAAGAAACTGAATTATTAAAATTTGTTGTAAACTTGAGCAAATATGCAAAAACATGTTTAAAAAAGGAAGTGATRAGATCTTTATGTACGTATGTTTTAAGTATAAAAGCTACAAAAACAAAAGTTAGCTCCTGAACGACTGTTTTGATATGAACGGCTAAAACAGCAACGTATTCAGAAATAGACTGCAAAATATGCACAAGTGGAAAAAAAAAACAATAGTAACAATAAGTAAAATATGACATGTTTTCCTTAAAATTAAACAGTTTATTTTGAGGATGTCAAAGTTGACCACTGTTATGCACCTTTCGAGGCGACAGTAGAAAAATAGATTCAGTGAAACTAAATGCAACTTAATATTGATCTACAAACACATTTCTATATCAGACAAGTACAACGTACTTGAGAAAATTAAAACACAAGCAATCACACATTTCAGGTGGTTCATTTTTTCCAAAAAGTTGCTAAGTAACACTATGTACAGGAAACGAGCTACATGGGATTTCAAAGAACTACTTGATGCATGCTGGTAAGCTGGTAGAAAAGAGCTTGCATAGACATCAAAGTCACTGATCCAATAAAAGCCCAGCCGCAGGCAGGGGAAGGCACTGACTCCTCTACAGCAAAGAGCAAAACAAGGACCTTGACTCAATGGAACATTGTCCTGGAAAATAATAAAAACAAAAGCTACCCAACATGAACATGGGGAGGAATCTGGAGTTTTGCATTTTTTCCCCATGAAGCAACTAAGATGGAAAAACGATTTTTTTTCTTCTTCTGCTTGGCAAACTCATCATCGCAAAGCAGATTAATATCTTGAGATCGTCCACATGTTACACTTAAAAATGAGGGGGAAACAGCTCTACAAACATGATAGTTCACATCACCTACCACATAAAAAAAGCTCTCAATGCATAACATTTAAGAAAAGATTCTGAAACACAATCTTTATGTTTTGTACCACACATTCTTAGTGAGATTTCATGACAAAGACAAGTACACAGTGCTGTCCACTACAGTTAAAAACAGACCTTCAACGACTACTAAAATGTGATAGAAACCATTAAAAATTCATCAGAGTGCGTGGAACTAAATTCATTATTTACAATTTCCGTCAAGAGACATGTGCAAGCGATCGCCGACTTTTCCTCGGCGTAGGTCATCTTTTGTTCGAAATTCATTTGTTCTTCCCTTCTGCTAACACCCAGATGGCTCCAACAGTGCAATAGATACTTGTGAGGTTTTATACCAGCTATCAGCTGTAACAGGCTTATATGTGTGGACTTGCAGGTTTTTTTTTTGGGAGCTACAGCAGGTCTCTAGCATTATATTTAACAGTATCAGCACTGTGTATGCATATCTATCTCTCATGAGGTGGGAACATGGAGGCTTGGTATATGCATTTAATATTACCATTAAGTGAAATCAACTAATACTCCAGAAAAGAAATATAGTCTTTGTCTGTATTGAAATAGGAGTTAAAAGATATGAAACATTTATTTGAATAAAAGGTAGCTAAAAACTGAATAATCTAAGCACTTGTTAAGGCTTTAGATTGGATTACGTGATGCAAACGTAACTGGGAACTTTCACACAGCCACTGCACTCTGTGCCAGACTGGTTAATATCTTCAGACTGATATGTACAAAGACCTGACTAAAATGGGAGCGTACAGTACTGAGATTGTCTAAACACCTGTGTGCATTAAAGCTATCCTTGAGCGCGCGCACACACACACATACACACACCTGCTTCAGCTGCTAGTCCCAGCAAGCCGTTAGATCACTGTACGTCGGTCATCGTGACACCCTTGTATTTTCCACTGCAGTTCGGTAATGAATCCACCTGTGATTACTACCCTCCTGGTGACCCCACCCAGTTGAAAAACACCAGGCCTTTAAGCCAGACACAAAGGATATGATAGTTAACGCCTGATACAATTGTCAGACTCAGTTACTGGGAAAATGATGAGCTCTGATGACCTAGATTCTGTCAAATGCAATTCCTGCTTTGCGTGTCAAAGTCTCTGTTCATTACAAATGAACTGTGAAGACATGAGGCCAGGAGGGAGAAGATACTCAGGTGGGTTGTCATAGACATGCTACGAGAAGAAATGTAGACCCAACAGGAGCAAAAGAAAATGGTCGGACATATTTACACGTGATGCTGCATGAACAGATTCTTATTCGCTGGTTTTCCAGTTGTCAGCGAGAGACAACAGGGCCGACCCATTCAGTCTTTGTTTAGGCAGGAGTTCACAACTGAGCTCTGAAAATGGTGAGACCACTTCATGCAGACTTTACATACGAGAGCCAACCTCCTCCTCATGAATCAAAATCAAGAGATTATTCCATCCCACAAAACTTCCAATAATCCTCTAAACCAGCAGGCCTGGGCACTTTAACAGCTAACCAACTTACTTTTTTCCATCCTGACTGTGTGATGGATAGCACAGTGTGATAGAGGTAGGACAAAAGGACAGATTCTATAAATAGCAATATCTACAACCCCTTTTCCCCCTGCTCCTCTCAAACACAGTTAGGCACACGTTTAGTGCTTTGCCATCCGTTTTGATGAACAGCCACATATCACTTTTTTTTTTTGCCTTTCTCRACTCAAACCTCTGGTCCTGAACTGGGATTAAAGTGCCGATTTTTTATAAGGGTAGTCAGGTTTGCTGGGCGACCTGCGGTCTCTGACAAGATCCTCGCTGATACTGTTTCTGTGGGACTGTTGCAGAGGCCCTGGACCTGATGATTCTCCACCTAGAACCATTTCTTCTGGAGCGTCTCTCAGTCCCATGTGCCTTTCTTCATAGCCGTCCAGATTTCCACTGGGGGACCGTAAATGGCCTAATCCATGAGTCAGGTCCGTTTCATTTGGTCGCCCCTTAGGGAACTGTCCCGTCCTGGGCTGAGGCCCAGACGGACTGGCAAGGACTCCCTCATGCCTCTGAGATTTTATACTGAGAACATCCAGCCGTAGAGGGTCAGGAGCAGACCGTGCCGACATGTGGCTATGGGACTGACAGTCAGAAACATAAGGAGGGGGATATGAGCCGGATGTGTTGCAGCTGTGGCTGTAGAGATCTGGTCCTGGAAAGGCGGCCAGAGGGTGAGAGGAAGTCGGTGTTGCGGGTCGACAGGAGAAATCATACAGGTCAGGGAACTCGGCTTGAACTTCTAGTTTGGGTTCTGGAGCATGCCTCTTGCAGGAATGGCCGTGTCCGGGACCGTAACTGTGGCTGAGGCGAGCAGAAGGGCAGGGCCCGTGGGGCAGATGGTGTCCTGAAGATCCCATAGGGCTGTGAGGACCTTCCCTGTCCATCTCTGCCAGGTGCTGTTCCCTCAGGGACATGACTGAGACGCCAAGCGCAATATCAGGCATGAACTCCCTTATAACAGGCTCCACGCTCATCTGCATCAGAAAACACATAATGGTACCATTACCTAACTGATAATCAGAAAATAAAAAATATATATACAGAACAATAAGACAGGAAGACTCRGGCTCAAACTCACCACTTGCTGGTCTGAAAGTAAAGTCCGTCCCATTGCCTGTGGGTTGGTGCAGTCTGGAGGCTGCGGCCTGGGCGCAGAGGAGTACTCTGAACTGCCATGCTTGGAGGCTGCGTGGCGCTGGATCAGAGTGCGGTTGCAGGGGTAGGAGAAGGAACGAGTGGGAGTAGGCAGGGGCACGCGAGGCCGCCAGGAGCCCTTGAGTTGGGCATGGCTGGGTGTGGCAGGTGGGTGATAAGGGGGAGGTGGAGGAGGTAAGGGTGGGTGGAAACCTACTACCCCTTCCAGCTCTGTTATCATGCTGTCCATGGCTGGACTGCTGTTTACTCGACAACGACCCACCTGGCGCAGGGCCAGAATTGGACTCTCATCTCCAAACCGTTCATCCGGAAAGAACTTGGATGGATTCTGCAAGAAAAAATACAAACAAARSYWAAAAAAAGCATAGRATTTTCCCCATACAGTTTGAATGTGGTGAGATCTGTCAGCTTTATGTTTTTTCCACTCCAAGKGTCCCAGCCTGAAGATCCCATCTTCCTTTACCTGCAGGAGCTCAGTGGCTCCATCTGCCAGACCAAACTCCCTCAGCACCCGAAGCTGCAGCTCGTAGCTGACTGTGGCTCCCTCACCGCAGTTAAGAGCATAAGCTCGCTGGACCTGCTCTGTATGTCTCAACTCATGGAGCCTTCGAATCATATCCTTTACTACAGACAGCTGAGGCACTGGAAACACAAAACATTCATGTTTTCACATGATTTAACAGGAATAACATAGTGCTCAACTAGCTTCAAAAAAATCCTTGAGCACCATCATTTGCTTTCTTTTTCTCATACAAATTTTCACTTTCTTTAAATTTGTCAACAGCATCCTACCTGGAATTTCATTAGCCACGACCGACGGAGCTGTGCTTGAGTTGCATGCCATTTGTTGGTGGTTGATCATGTGACAGCACTGAGGCACGGCATTGTTGACCATGTAGAGTGTGTCTGGGACGTTGGACATGCGCACCAGTCGCAAACGAACAAGGTCCGTCTGCTCCACCATCATTTCATCAAGCACAGACTGAAGCCACATTAAAAAATATTATAAATCTGCGTATAACTCAAGGACACGGAGTACATTTTGCAAATTTGTTCCACTTGACTGACACCTTTATAATGATTCTCTCTGGTCTATGGATATGTTCATTAATATTCATAGGCCTGTAATTTATAAGGAAATTTCGCAAATGTAAATCAAATTAATTTTAGTCAATATGACAGGGGTTATTGTTGAATACCAAATGAGAAGTATCCATAGCAGCACTGATAGTTTTAGTATGTATGTCTGAGCTCTGTCTGTATTTAATGAGCCTCACCTTGGCCTCCTCAACGTAAGGGGAGAAGAGTCGAGGACGCACATAGATCCCTGCATTCTTCTGCCGTAACCAGGCATTGGCTTTCCCGCCCTCAGCTGTGGGCAGCATGTCTGACGGGGGAGTACTAATCAAACCCCTCTTAAGCTGTGAACAGAGTGAACAATGCGGATCAATATTCAGCATTTGAAGGTCACAGTGAGTAAACACACATTGATAGAAAACACAAYGAAAAGGGAAAAAGGCAGAAAAGGAGTACTGACCGCATCTGCGAGGACATCACTGTTGGGAGGCAAGATGTGCTCAGTTCGGATGTAGGGCAGTAGGGGAGACAGGATCTCCTTCAGCTCCTCCACATCCAGGTCTCGCCTTTTCACTCCCCGTTTGTTGACACTGTGGGCTGTGCCACTCAACAGGTTGGGCTCTGGGTTAACAAGGACAGGAACAGCCAAAGGCAGATAATTCATACAATGCAGATTCAATTAATTATGCAACTATGGCTATGCTTTTAATGCTATTACGTTTGCAACCTGCTGRCTAATTTTTGCACAGTCTGACAAGTTTAAATTAACAAGCTCTAGATAAATGTGGCATTGCCTGCAGCGTGGTTCATGTTTCTGAATAAATTTGCTGACTTTTTACCATATTAATAAAACCTCTGACCACAAACCTTACAGAACATCATTTTTTAGGTTAAAACACACGACATAGCTAATAAAGTTGAAGTCACTTTATGTTGACTTTATTTATGAGGGTAAGTTTTCTTTGAGCCCCTAAGTATATTTTTGGGGGCTGCAGTAAGTGGGCAATATTGTCAGAGCAATTAGGGGGTCTGCTGAGAGGGTAATTATAGAGTGTATTATCTTACCCCTGTCCGCCATCCTCTTAATAAGCTGCTGCTCGCCCCACTTAACAACATACTTGAGAATGTCCTGCTCACTGGCCTGTGAATGACACCAAGATGGAGCAAAAGAAGGATAAAGGGCAAGGAGAGAGACAGACACCAATATATTCATGAGCAGATATTGAGTGAAACAAAGCTGTGGAGATGTTAAACGGGGACCAGCTGAAAATGCAACATGTTCGTTGATTACAAAAAAATTGCCCAACTTGTTTGGTGATGCTGACGAGCAACAAACTTTGATCAGGTTTAGGATTTAAAGGAATAGCCTCCAGGGAATTTTGTTTCTGAACATCTAAAGACTGAGCGTGTCAATATAAGTATGTTGGTTACAAGTATAGTGTGTGAACTGAACTGAAACAGCATTAATAATGTCAGTAAACTTTGTTGCCATCTTTAAACACAAACAGACWGCTGATACATCCGTACCTGAAGGTAGTCAGACTGAATTGCGCTGAGAAGATGTTCTTTGCCGAGCTCGTAGAGAACATCAGAGGTGACGACCTGACTGAACTCTTCGCAGAGGAAGTGCATGGCCTGCCTGTGGACCCACTTGGAGCCATACGGCTGGGAGCTCCACTTCAGAATAGGAACCAGAGAGTCCAGAGACAAACTTTCGATAATAATGTCTTCGCATCCTGGAAGAAACAAAATCAAAAAGGAAATTTACAGCTTCATATTCGGTCCAGTCCACTTTTTGGCAAATTATGCCTTATAATCAATTAAAACTGATGGATAATAATACTAAAATATTTAAATTAAGCAAGCTATTACTGTGTACAACTTGCATCACTGCCAAATCATCAGTAGTTTTGATTCCCATTYACTGACCCATGGAGTCTCCCTCTAGTAGCCTCCTGCATCCTCCATGCTGTGCTTTCTAAATCAGAGCACATACCAGAACAGCAGGCAGTGGCTTTACCCCGTAACACACCAACCCACAGAAATGCCTTTGATACCTTGATGTGTTTTAGTCTCAAGCTGCCTTCCCTTTACCGTGTTAAGTAAACACAGCAGCCTGAGGAAATGTGCTGCCGGTGGACCAGCACACATGCTTGGAAAATGCGCACACACTCGTGTGCATGAATCAAAAATGCATTAACAAGCCACAGAAGGTTTAGGGAATTATGTACTCGCTGCTCAAGCAGTTCAAAATAGAACTATGCTCTGCAAATGCAGCCAACATTGGCACTCAAAGTCACACTAAATCTAAGAGGGATCCACTTAGGAGGAAACAAAATAATAAAATATCCAACATCCATTTGAAGTACATAAAAATCAGTTTAGTCAGCCACATCTATGCCAATCCAAAACAAGACAAGAACTTAAGAGGCTCTTAGTAAAAATTGCTCTCTGATAGCAAATGTTGAATACAAAATAGACAGAGAGACTGGTTTTAAGTCTGCTCTGAACTGAAATACGAGCCTGCCAAATTTCACATTCCAGTCTGTCCTGTCGATCATTTCATCTTTGGGCCAGTAGCATTGCTCCTCAGGGAAAATCTTATCTTAAAACATTAATTTTAAGCTGCACGTCCAACCCCAGCCCACCCCTTTGAACATACACGCGGAGAAATTGGCCTACAGACTTGATAGAGTGAAGCCTCAAGAGATGTTTTGGAATCTAAAACTTTATGTAAGTCAAAGCAACATGAGTACATTTGAATTATCAGCACACTTTAATGCTAAGATTATAAGCAATAATGTACAGGCACAAGACACCTTTTTGGCCAACTTAATTTTTAGTAGWGAGCTGAAAAACAGCAAAACAGACAATGTAGAAATCTCAAATGGTTAAAGGACAGATGAGACTAAAACTTGGCCAAATGCACCTTTAATATCTGTGGTGAAGATACTGTAGGAGCTAATGGACTCCAAGCATCTGTTTCTCTTTGTCCATCAGTGCTGTCTGTCTTATGGAAAGTGCTGCAACGTTTTGAAGACATTTACTATTGCATCTTTGGCCTTTCTGAAAGCAGACACACAGGCACCCGCCAGCAGCAGCAAGCAATTCCCCACGTGGGACCAAAGACACAGAAAAACAAACATCTCTGCTTTGAGTTAGCCTATTAGAATTCACAGTGACAGMCTGTCTTTTAAAACAAAGCACTTTTTATTATGAGGTGGAGATTAGAATCAGCATTACCGGTAGATCTAATGCTAACCCTCTGCCTTTCTCTCCACGGGTGGCACACCACGTTTACTGGAGCTTAACGGACTGACGGGCACATCAACACAGCAGCAAAAACAGCAGCAGTCGGCCTCGCATTAACTTTACGGGACATAAACACATTATCCTYGTCTCCACGGTTGATGATTAATCAAGGACTGGGGTTTCAGTCAATATTGTCACAAGACAGGGCACCAAATGAACTGGGCATGCAGCTAGTTTGCTGTGGAGATCCACTACATAGAAACCACACAAGCGCTGTGGAGCATTTAAAAATTATTAGGGCTTTTAAGTCTGGTTATCATCTAAGTGAGATGTAATCCTAAAACGGAAGCACAGCTTGAGATTTAATATGCACTATGAAAACCCTGAGGTAGAACTCCTTAAGGTCAGAGAAAAAGCAGTGGTGAAGTACACGAGGAGGGGGGTGGGCACTGTCTGAAGATTAGATGGCTTCCTCCACATGAAGGCTCTGACATAAGCCTCTCTGCTGCCTCCTGGAGAGACCTGGCAGTTCCTGAGGTCTGAAGAGGCAGAGTAGACTCTGCCAAAAAAAAAAAAAATCTTGTTCATAATTTACCAGACGGTGGGATGATTTGTTATTTGGAATTTTGCAGGATTTAAATGTCAGAATGAAGTGTAAGAGGGATCTAACAARACACAAAGCTACAAGACACACATAACAGATCGAACATATTTCACTGAATTTGAAGGGAAGTGTTTTGATYTGTGCAGAAAAGATGGAGACAAAACAGACAGCATGAGGGCTTGTGAGGGTGAAACCCTTCGGCTGCTAACAGATTAAMGTGGCCAACAGAGTAACACCTTATCACAGCGTTATGTGACCGTACAGATCTTATAAAGCTGACTGACTGTCAAGTGTCATTCGATGAAGCTGCTACACTTGTTTGACCCTGAATGTAAAAAAAAAAAGACTAGATCGTATCTCTGCAAAACATCCTCAGATTTTAGAGGTTTTGATTTGAGCTGGATGTTCAGAAGTTGTTCAAAGCGATAAAACTCACATTTTCCACTTGGCGAGATTGCATCAAGCAGTTATTCTTATCACAACATAAAACCAAACTTACATGAACAAATGGTTAATRCAAATCTCAAAGTGTAGTTAAATTTGCTTATTAATAAACAAATTCAGCTTCATAATTCAGTGTAACTTTACATATACATCAGGTTTGTTAAAACATAGTGTATGTTGTACATCTGCAATTGCTTCCCAGCAGAAGCTTGTTAGTCATAAAAAATCTCATTATAAAATGCAAAGCACAAGAAACAACTGCTGTGAGAAATTTGAGTCTGAACAAATYATTAGACACATTTTAAAACACCACAATCTAATTAAAGAGTGTGAATTTCACGATACAGCATGAGGCTGTGAAATTTTATGCTAAAATCATTGTGTGCATCTCATATTGTAATTTCAATACAAATTATAACAATGAGGATGGGGATTTGAACATTTTGAAAAATGATGACATGATGTTGCTGATGTTATGCTGGTGGAAAATGTAGTGTGCYAAAACACCTCTTTGAAGGAAGTGTAAGTGATAAACAGATGGTTCAAGACAAAGTGTGGCTTTAACCTCTAGCGTGTTTCAGGGGTCACACTTGAACAGTGGCAAGAGTAAAAAAAAAACCTGTGTAATATGAGTAAAGACATATCAGGGATAAAGTGCTGACAGAGGCTTGGATGAACTGCCTGAGCCAGCTGTCTGCTCTCAGAAACACAGCCTGTAATACCTGCAGGAACATATTGATACAGGCCGTGTATAAACATGTTCCTGCACTGATACCACTGTCGGTCTAAGTAAAATATCAAGACATTGAACATGACACTACTTGGATGCATAAAAACCAAGAATGAATCACGCTCGAGTTTTGCAGGGCAACCAGATATGACAAAAGCTAGAAGATTATATCATAGAAACAGACACTATAATTATGACAGAATAAATGGGCAATTTGGTTTTAAAATTCCAAATCAAGGCTGTTGTACCTACACCCACTACATTAACACAGTCAATGTTGTGGGTTTTAAGCAATTTGTGGCTGAGACCTTGGCAGCAATGAGATGGAACAGGAAGGAAGAAATTATTGAGGAATGAGACCACACTAAAAGCTGTACAGCACGGTATGCTGAAAACGCAGAGCTGGACAATTAAAATTAACAAATCTGTACATTATGAATCTGATTTGATTATATTTATCTGTATACTATTTATAAAATATCAGGACAATAGTTGAGTCATCTTTTGTTTTTAGACATTAACAGACTGGATGTATCCTGATATACTGAAATAGAAAAGGTTATATCAATTCCATCCAACACAGATATGTATAGATTATGATTACCATGTCTACCCTTTAGGCTTAGATTTCTGTGGTGTATTGACTTACCTTGAGCCAGCATGTTAAACTCCAGAAACAAAGCAATGTGGTACAACTCCATGGCCTCCTCAGTGCGTGTGCTGGCACCACGGCCCCCTGAAACAAGGGCTTGCACCTCACCGAGGCTGCCTGCTGAAGGGCTGCCACGCAGCACAAGACTGAGGTCAACAACGTCAGTGTACATGCAGTGCAAAATAACCTGCACATATTTTCGTGGGATGATGGACTCATCCAACACGATTCGGGTGGGTGTCTGCAATGTGCGCTCTGTCATTTCCTCTCCTGTGCGAATACGTCTCTGCAGAAGGTTTCTAAAGAAGGGGGAGCGTGCTGAGAGGATAGCCTTGTGAGCCCTGAGGTCCTCATCTGGGGTCTCCAGTGCCCCGCTGGCTCCTGAGACTGCTGCTGGTGCTGCAGCTACCGCTCCTCTCTCGTTACAGCTCTCGATCATCTCGGAGTCTGAAGAAAAGCTGAGCAGAGCGTCGTAGTAGCACATGTAGTCAAACAAGCCCTTCATATCTGCCTCCAGGGAGTTCGGCGTTCCAAACTCCTCGCTAAGCTGAACCAGCACGTCCACGTTTTGCAACCTGGTATCTTCTGCTCCGCGCACCCCGAACTCTCCGGTGTACAAGTAGTGAAGCAGGGCAGAGAACATGGGCACATCAATACCAGCTGTGTCAATGTCCATGAGAACCTCCGCTCCATAACCAGGAGATGAAGAAAGCAACGATTTGAAAAAGGGGCAGCGTGCAGCCAAGATGGCCCGGTGAGCTGGGAAACATGTACCTTGGAAGATGAGATCTACATCAGTGCAATACTTGTGCTGGTAGAGAGCAGCCAGATCTCGCTGCAAGCTGGGAGCCTCAGCACGAGCCAGACTGGCCTGGAAGCTCAGCTCCTTGAGGGCTGCTGTTCCCTCATACTCCTCCACCAGGGCGTTCGTGTCACGGACATCCCACCCTGACAAAAGCTCCCGCATCTGCCTCGCATGATCTGCTGAGCGGCTCGACTTCCTCCTTTTGATAAACCTCCGTTTGAGAGTTGCCAGACCAAGGCTCTTCTTCTTCCTGTCTGTGGGCCGCTCGTGGCCGTGCTCCAGGCTATACAGYTTTGACTCCCAGCCATATCCCTGCTGAGAGTAAGATGAGGTTCCTAGAACAAAAATCACATGAAGAAATAAGTTTTAAATACAGTAATTTTTCTAAAACATGAATATGGGGATTAACTCGTCTACATTATTCAATTGTAACAACTCTTTTCGGACATGGCTTTACACAAAACTCTGGGAAACCTACATGAAACTAGTTTGCAGATTTCTGAATCAAAAAAGTAGCAAATTCACCCTTTACTTTGTGTTTTCCCACCCTTTATACTTATTTTAAAAGGTTCCCTAAACCAGCAGCACCCGGATCTAGAGCATCCTTGAATTATGCCTTCAAAAAATCTGGACTTTGCATGTTCTTTTTAAGACTRTAGATACTCTGGCTTCCTCCCACATTTTAAAAATATGTCTCTTAGGTAACTGGTGATTATAAATGGTCTCTGAGTCTTAGGTGTCTTGCGTTGCATTGGCCTTGTAATGAACCGGTAACCTATCCAGGATGTACCACACAGTGACAGCTAGGATAGGCTGCAGCCCACTCATAATCTTGAAAACGCTTCACCAGGTATATATATATATACACATACACATTTTTTAAACAAATCTGTGAATTAAAAAGAATGCTCAGAATTGCTCCACAACTGTTAAGAGTTGCATAGATTTGATAAATTGGTGAATTAATTTTAACCGTGCCATTCCTATTACTAATGGTTTCATTCTTTTCACAAAACATTACTGTAGTCCAGACTACCAGAAACACAACCTCCCTCTGGCATCCGAGCACACACTGATCTGATCCAACTACCAAAGCACCTGGATCAAATTCAACTGCAAAATAAAACAGACAAGATCCCCATTTTCTTTCATTTTAGACCCAAGAATGAGCCATTATGGGTTAAGAACCAATTATAGTTTTATTCTGCTTTGTATTACTCTACAAAGTTCAGCCCTTTCATGTGTTTAGGTCTAGTCAATTACCCTAAACGGCAGTTATGTTTGGCCTGAGACAGGACTCGTACGTCAGCGGAGGCTCTGCCAAGGAGATCCTCTCCGCCTGACCTTCTGTCAGCATCCATCAGTGTGACCCAAATAGTAATCATTCAAACTGAATGATCTGTGCCCAAGGCCATTTCAAACGAGTTGCTTCAGAATTTAAACGAAAACTGAAAGTTTTCCATTGGAAACAGGGATAAAACGGCTTCTGTAACTGTACTTTCAATTTAAAAGCATGAGTCCACAAAAAATAGACATCAAGTAATTTTAAAACTGAAATTAACATTTTTAGTGGAAGAAAGTATTTTTGATAATAGGTCTCTAAAGCAGTTCTTCAAACTCTCAGAAACTAAGAAGTCCAAAAACATGAGCCATAAATCAGACTCTTCCTTTTTCTTCAGAAATGCTACCTAACTTTTAACATTCACTTACCTAAAAATAAACCACCGTACAAATGGAAACCTTTACAAGTTATACTGCTCAGACAGCTTTTTATTGCTGTAGATGAAACTACAAGTTAAAATAAAAACATTTTTTTACTGTTTTTAAGAGTTTGAAGTCTCAGACCAAAGCTGATTAATGTGACAATCATAAGACAAAAAATTATTCAAGGGGTWCAATTTTGACTACTAGTTCCACCTAAGTTAATAATGAGAAGTATTTCATACAATTTTTGTTAAATGCGCATCTCAAAAGAAATTTTGTTGCTCATCTACCTCTGATAATACTTTACCAGTGCATATGGTAGAGAAAGGTACGCRGCACTGATTTTAGATGCATTTACAGCAGTTGCATGAGTCAATGGCCCAGTTCAAGAGCTCTTGTGCACAAAATTATTCACCTCCTGCACCATCAGTTGCCATGGAAGCAGGTTAATCTAATCTAAAGTGAGAGTTTGCTCATGGTTAGACCCCTATTAGTATGCATATGGAGAAGAGGTGGATATACAATTAGGTTTATGTCAAAAAAAGTGGGAAATTTTAATACCTTTTTTAAACTTGCAGTACATTTCTGATATGCTTTAACATATGCCAACTGAAAATATGTCAGAAGAGGATCAGACTTTAGCCCTGAACTGAGCTTGATTCCTTCCTGGGAAACTAGCTTTTAATAAACTTACCTATAAAAGTCTGCTGAGCCTGTGTATTTCCCCCGATACGTGGGGAGCATGAGTGTGGATAGCTGGATCCATTGGCCCCCATCCTTACGGCTCTTCACTTGCTATTTGGGGGGTCCCCCCTTTTGCTGAGTCATTCTGCTCAGACTACAGATTCCTTTCAAGCCTCAGTTGTGRATCAGGGATGGATCCTCTGAAGCATCCTCAGAGTCCCAGGCCCAGGCCGCCATGCCTGGAGGAAATAAGATGAAAAAAATAATCACACAAAGATCAGAAATTTCAACTCAAAGTCTGTGTTTTAAGTGATGCTGATTAACATCTCATAGGAATCTCATTACTGAAGTGGCAAAAAAAAAAAAAGGAATCTCATTCCAACGAGTTTGGGTTGGACATATAGTTTCTGTAAGAGATGACAAAAAACCAGAGGTGTCAATGTTAGTGGGGGCTGAACAGAGGAACACCTATTGCTAMCCATTACATCTCTTCAGCAACATTGGTTTTAGTGCAATAATCAAACTTAGCCCCTCTGGCTGTTTTACAGGGCTGAAACGCTTTAAAAAAAACCTGTATTATATAAGCAGTGTGTTCAGACCTTATCTATAATCTTAAAGAGCAACTTCAGTCAACAAAGGCTTCCTCTTCTTTCCCTCAGGAAACTGATTGCCAGTCAACTACAATTAAATGCAGATGTTGCTTGGTTTCCAAAAAAAAAAAGGTACGACCCAACTCATTCCAACCCTCTTTTACCTATATGTCAGGTTTACTAGCTTATTCATTTGTAGGCTAATTGTTTCCAGGTCTTTTCTTTTTATTTTCTGTCAATATCCACATATGAAATAGTTACTCTGCCTTTTTAGGGATTAAAACAGGATCCAATGCTCTCATTTATATTTCAGCACTTTCTTAAGCTTGCTGTCAAACCCAGCCTCATGAGCCAGTAACGTCTTGCAATTTTAGAGGAATATATCCAAATTAATACGATTTGTTTGAATACGTACCAGCAAATTCAGGATCTAGTTTAAATATATTGCTGGTGTTGGTTTCTACTKATAATGATGAACAGTAAGGGCTTTGAGTCTCTGATTCAGCAGGGCTCTATGTGAGCTTGCTGTTCTGATTGGGAGATCAGTGTTAAAGCTCCAGCACTATCAAGTTGCCACGGCTGCAGCCTTAAACAACCCCTTAACTCCATCTGCTCTGGGAGGACTGGACCACGGCTGACTTAAAGCTTCGATCTGAACATATTAACAAGCCAAGAAAAGCAGCAAAATTTAATTGTACTTAATGTATATGCGATAAGTAAAAAAATATATATGTATATTATTTTACCCAATCATGTCTGGTTGGACTGGCCTTGCAATGACCAGTCAATTTACACCAATACATGATTAATAACAATGGGGTAATAAAAGGTAATCGAGCTTAATTTCATTAATAAGGCTGTTTTATTGATATTGTCTTACGTGTTTTAAGTGATTTTTGTTGCTAAGGTCATAGTATGATTATTGTGATTGTTGTCTTCTGTGATTTGTTTGTATTTATTCACCTTGCTGCAAAGAAAATTAGTGATGATGATAATGGTATACAAAATGTTGGACTATATCATGATGGATGTGATACTCAAGTTTGTTTTTGCCATCACTCACATTTCAGAAGTGCAAGTCTGCATTGGATTAGGCAAGAAGTAGCAAGATAAATGTAAACATTAAACAAAACAAGCAACAAACAAGTATCAATCCCATCATGCTAGTACTGACATAATCCAAYTTAGTCTACCATTGCTATTAGTATCATGTATTGGTAAGTTTTCCAGGACATGGCAAATCTATGTTAAATWAAAAAAGCAACTTGACTTCTGTTCTGTAGTTGAAGACAAGCAAAGTTTCTAAACTGCATGACGTTGGCTGTGATAATATCAATATTTGAATTATTCCGTATATCCCTACTTCACTGACATTTAAATGCAACATGACTGTTCAAACTGCAGTTGCTTTGAAAAACAGTAGATATGAATCCAAATTACTTCCACATATGAAAAACACCTGGGTCAAATTTGAAAATAAACAGATAAAAACCATATCTGTCTCATTCAGACAGTCATAAAGAAAAGTCTGATTTGGGTCATTTTTGCATGCAGTGTGAACATTGCCCCAGCTGCTCTGTATGAATGTTTTTATTTTCTTTTACAAAACAGGAAAGATCTCTGAGCATTCTGTCTTTTTTGGTGAAACTACACTAAGGACTAAACTGCGATGAGAGATCTGTTTTATCTCAGCCTACTAGTTTTTCCTGCCTACCATACTAATAAATCATCGTGGGTGCCCCTGTAGAGCAGCACTCCACAGCATCCCAAGGGTTTGATGAAAAACCACAGCCTTTCTCCACACACACACACACACACACACACACACACACACACACACACACACACACTCCTCTGAGAGAAAGTTACTCTCACAGATGCATGCCTTTGCACAATTT